GGGGGGGGGGAAGCAAGGGGAGGGGGGAGAAAGAAGCCGAGGAAAGGGGAGGAGTTTCTCCAGCTCCGGTCTTTAATCCCAGCAGCGAGGTGTCAGGGGGGACCTTCGCAAGAGCATGAGATGCCCTTACCGACGCTGCTCCCTTTCTCACTCTTCCGCCCTTTCAAAAATATCCGGAGCATCCTGGGGGAGGGGGGGAGAAAGTTTCCTTCCCCTCGCCCAGCTCGGCCACACTCTCACCGAAAGAGAGAGAGAGAGAGAGAAAAAAAAAAAAAAAAAAAAAAAAAGATAAAAAAACAACCCCCCAGACACGCAAAGGCCACAAAACCCGAAAAGGGGAAGCGCTCGGGCGACGCTCCTGGCAGACTGGGGAGTCCCGCGGGGAGCCCGAGCGGGGAGGGAGGGAGGGAGGGAAGGGGGGCAGGAGGATGGGAGGAGGTGCCCGGGCGCTCCGAGAGTCCCGGCAGGGTCCCCAGGAGCTGCCACGCAACTTTCCCGCAGTCCGGCCGCTTCCCCCGGCTGCCGCTCGCCCCGGGCCGCCCCGCCGGCCCCTCGGCGCGGGGAGAGCAGCTGGAGCTGTGCCTGCATTCCCCGGGCTGCCGGAGCACGGAGGTGGGCGAAAAGGCTGCGTTTCACCTTGCCAAAAACGCCCAAAGGCGGCGCGGTTCCTCTCCCTCCCGACCTCCCAGGCTGTTTTCTCGCCTCCCTCCCCGCAGGGTTTCTCCTGGCCGTGCCCTGAGGGAGGGGTATTTCTTTCCCCCGAGGCACCGCTCCCCGCAGCCCGGCAAGGAGGGGGCCCCGCCAGGCTTCATTCCCTCTGGGCAAAACCCCAGGCTGCCCTGCCTCTGCCGGGCTGGCAGGGAACGTGTGCCAAGCCCGGGAGGGCCGCAGTCCACTCCTGAACGTAGATTTTTCCGCTCCCTCCCTCCAAAAAGCCTTCAGCTCTCTTGCAGATCCAGCCGAGCGAAAGAGGCGGCTCAGCCCCCGCGGGCGAATGGATTTGGCGTCCCCGGCTCCCAGAGAAGGAAAAGCTTCCAACATCCCTTCACCTGTGGCTGTGCTGCTGTCCCAGAGCAATCCCACCGCAGTGCCACCCCTGCTGCCACCGGGGCTGAGAGTCTGGGACAGCAAGGACAGAGAGGCGTCTTTTCTTTAGGACAGCAGGTGGTTTAAACAAGCATCCATGCTGCATCAAAATATGAGGGTTTGTGTCAGAAGTGGCTCTTCTTCCCTTGACAGTCTCTGGATCTTTTTACACTGCCTGAATTTGAGGGTAAGGCCAAACCCGTTACAGCCACAGACTTTTGATCACAGCTCTTAAACTCAGATTTTCCCTGGGTTCAAAGATGTGCGTGTAATTCACAAAGCTGACACTGTAATCACTACCAGCAAATCTTAGGGGATTCTGTAAAACAACGATTGAGGAGAGAAGGCAGAAGAGTTTTCCTCAAAAATCTTATCTTCTGAAAAAATACAGGGTCGCAGTGGTTATCATCAAAAAGTACAAGAATTTAGATTTATTTCCCTCCTTTTGGAAGTCTCAGTATTTAACAGGTGCAAAGCTCGGTCGGGTGTAAAGCCTGTAGCCACTTCTCTAAAACCATACAGAATTAAATAAAAATATGACCCCCTTAATGAAACAGACAACTGTCCTATAGGTTCCTACAGACTGTCATGGAAATGAAACAGGGGTCAAGATCACTGACACCAGCTCAGGAAGGGATGTGGACATCTCCCTGCTTTCTCCCAGCATTTATATAAACTCTGCCAACAAAGTGCTGTTGCCAAGGGATATGGGAATGACTGGAATAAAGAAATGAAAAAAATGCTAATAATCATGCCTATGAAAAAACTGTCACAAGGTTTTTTCTAGCTACTGTGGTCTTGAAAGTTAAAAAAGTCAGGGAAGGAAAGGTAGAATTTCTTTAGAAGGATTTTAGCAATTGGTATTGTAAGCAGATCTTCTGGTCATTCTTCATTAAATTAACTAAATTAACTAAATTCATTAATTAATTCAAGGTGGAAAAAAATCTACCATATAAATACTCCTTTCCCTTGTTTATGCAGAATTGTTTCCCACAATATTATAATTTATTTTCTACATTTAGTATTTTAAATCTAAATTAATTCTTCCCTTTTTTTAGATTATTGGTATGAATAATTGTGATTATTGTAAAAGAAGTTTCAGAAAGTGACATAAAGGCAGCATGACCAAACTCCCAAACATAAAAAAAATCACAAATCAATCTCTCCCCATCAGGATATTGCCTTAAGCATGTTTATCATTTCAGAATACCACAGTAAGGAATTATCCTTATTATTTTTTCCCTTTGACCCTCTAAGATCTCAAATATGACCTTTGATTCTCCAGTCATATTTTTAAACTTTTCATTGCAGCTCTGAGGATTAGAGACATGTTAAAAAAAAAAAAAAAGGAAGAAAAAAAGAAAACAAACCACAAAAAATACAACAAACAACAAAACAAAGCCTAAATCCTCCTACAGCTGCTAGACTTCAAGAGCTTGACTCCTTGTAAAATCAAGTGTTAATACGACCCTGCTACAAAATAATCACCAATTATTTCAGACATTAGGGCACCCTGTTTTTATGCCTCTTTGCTCTTTATCCTTCATGGGTAAACGTATCCAGCATATGCACAAACAACATTGTAAATACTTTTCATGAGATCTAAGTTATTTTGATCAATTTCACTGCCAACAACCACATTTTCAGATGCATATAAGCATCTAAATTACTGATTTCACAGACAAATTGGTACTAAAACACTTTGGAGAATATCATAGAATCACAGAATGGTTTGGATTGGAAGAGACCTTAAAGATGATCTGCTTCCAACCCCCTTCCCATGGGCAAGGACACCTTCCACTAGACCAGGTTGCTCAGAGCTCCATGCAACCTGGCTGTGAACACTTCCAGGGATGGGGCATCACATTTATCACCCAAATACGTCCACATTTCATGAGCCCTCAGGGGGGCAAAGCAGAGCAGCATTTCAAACACACCAGCCACGCTTTGCCTCTCCCCAACACCACCTGAATGTTCCCTGTTATAACTCAGCCCTACCTGTAACTCAGCAGAAACAGCACGTTTTGGGCTACACCCTGCCACAGGACTTGCCCTCATTAATCCTTAAATACAGGTTGAGTCAATTTTTCCATAATAAATTTCCCTGAGTACATTCCTAAGTTTATAAAATAGCCATAAAACTTTTCTTTGAGCCTTGGTTTTATTGATTATAGTTGCTGTAAGGAAAATAATATGGCACCAGCAAACTTTTGTGCTGAGGTTCCACATGCAATATGTAGAGATTTTGTGAAGACTTTAAATTTCACTGAGAAAACATATTAAAAAAAAAAATAAAAGTGGTATATGGGGAGAGCTATGTGAGTTGGTGGGTTTTAATTCATTATTAAAACCAGCATTTTTTGGTAATGCTTTATAGTTTGTTGTTGGTAATATCATACACATTGCACCAGAGGGGAAAAAGAAAGCTATCTGTAAAAAAAACTATTATTCTTTCTCTGCAGATGATATATTAATCATAATGTGAGCATTCGATGTAGATTTTTCACACATGCAATCTGTAGGTATACTTTAGGCACAAACCCCTGCAGAAGTCTCATTTTGGGTGACTACTTTTCCTACCACAAATAATGTGTGTATTCCATACCAGGGTAAATATTGTAATTTCTCAGGTCAACCACATTTATTCTTAAGTATATATATACATATATTCTTATTTGTGACTTTCAAACCTTTTTAAAATGTTTCCAGGATTTAGAGACAAGATCTTAAAAATCATTTTGACATTTTGAAATCTGGAAGCCCAAGACCTTGCCTGGCTGTTACTGGTATTCAGTATCCCAGCATTAACTATGCTTTATAATAGCTATTTTTCTCTTTATTCTCTTCTTATGTTAATATTTGTCCATGTTGGTTTCTGTACTTCCTCCTCTGCCTGTCCCTTTCTTTTCACATTTCACCTCTCATTCTCATCCTTCTGATTTTGTTCTCCATCTTTCTCTCTTCTCCAATTTGCCACTCAGTTCTTTGAGCATGCTTGAAGTAGATTGCTTGGTTTCTGTTCAACACATTTATTAGATTGAATTCGACCCTGCTGCATAGGGCTCCTTAACTTAATTACCAGTACAATCTAATTAACCTGATGCAGTATTGGGATGCTATAGTACCTGCACAAGTCTTCTGTAGAGACCAGAGAGGACACAGCCCTGACATCTGTCTGCCCACACTCTGCCTACACACCTGCTACCTGCTGACACTCAGCACAGTGCAGGGTGCATATTTCAAGTCAAATAGAACATAGGACCAACATGAGGAAATTCCTGTAGACAGCTAAATTGCATGGCTTGCAGCAAAACTGCAATTAAAATTGCCTTCCGTGGGGAAATTTGCAGGAGAAATTGTAAATCTGCCAGGAAGGAATGAGTGGCTGAAGCAAGGTGAGTAATGAGGTTAATGAGAGTAGCTTCTTGTTCCCAGAAGGTCTCCAGGAACATAACAGTAGCAAAGAGTGACAAATATTTATGCTGAAAGAGAGGTTGTGTGGACAGGTGGCTGTGCTTCCTTTCCAGGCTGTCAGACACCTTCTGGTAGGTAAGTGGTTACTGCAATGGATTCTCTTGTCACCTGAGGCCCAGCAGCACAGTCTGCCCTGCAACTCCGTCCCCACTGTCCCCAGAATCCCTGCCAGAATTGCTGCTGGCTGCTGGGCACTCCCCCAGAGCTGCTGCACTGCTTCATCCACTGAGTCACTGGGATGTCTTCTCACCTGCATCACAGTGCAGAGGAGGGGAAGTGACAGAGGAGCAGTTTCATACGACCTTTCTAGGCTGTTTCTCTAATTTAACCTGACTGCTAATTTCTCTCAAACTGCCAAAGGAAGAGGCAGTTTTTTGAGTTTATTTCCTTTTCACTTGCAGATCTTGTCCATCTTGACAACTGATCCTGTGTATCAAAAAGTTTCAGAAGTCATCATTCAAAATGAGCAGGCCCGTGGAATGGGTGTATTTGGTACACAGAAGGCATGGACACTGGAGCAAGGACTGGCAGGAGGCTCCCTGTTTGGCAACTGCAGTGCTTGTCTCTCTGTGTCCCATCTTCATGGCTCCAGAACCACAATCCCCACGAGGCTGCCCTCATGCTGCACAGCACTGACCCCACAGGAAATGCAGGCACTGGAAATCAGTGGAAATCAGATGGTGCACGGTGCTGTGACCTGAACCCCACTGCGTGGTGGCATTAGTGCCAGCACAGTTCTATAGACTGTGTCAACAGGTAAGTTCTGTTTCTCATTTGTATCACTACACTGTAAGAGTAAATAAAGAACTCTCATCTCTGCTAGAAAGCAGCTGGGAGACCTGACTAGGTACCAACATGGAAGCACATTTTCTTGTTTGAACCACAACACATTGATAAAAAACTTTGAGGCTGATTTTCAAAGTTCACACAATCTCTGTTGGTTCTGAGAGCCAGGAGAGCCTTCCAAAGATTGAAGTACCTTATGAGACATTATCTTTTTATATTGGTTTCTATATATAAAAAAAATTTCCATTAACTGGAACGATGCTGTTCAGCCTCAAGTTTTCTTAGTACTTAAAAGTCATGAAGAAACAATGAAAAAGACTTTTTAAAGTAGCTAATTTCCTCCTTACTGACACAGGAAAATTTCTTTTGTGTTTTCTACTGATGGTGAGTCAGAATTTCTGGCTGTTAGCCAAACAGAATACTTGGAACCTTTGATTTGCATATGTAGGCCTACAAGTTAGACAGATAACCTCAATCAAAATTTAATATAACAGATTATATGCAAAACCAGTGAGAAAAGATTCATTTCCCATATTGAGTGATTTTTGTCAGTTGTGCAAATTAACACAGAGAATTACAGATAGAATTCAAGAGGAGTCTGCTTTTCATTTTCTTTTCCAATAATATGCATAATGCAGTACATTAGCTGGAAGAATGTTTAAAGGAGGCAGAGACATGGTTCTACCAGGTATGTGTGGGCATAAGAACAAAAAGTGTTTTCAGCAGCACGAATCTGAAAGTACTTCCATGTTCTTCCCAGTTCACTGTGAAGAATTCAGAGAGCTGAAGAATTACAAGCACACTTTCTGTGAGCCTTCTCTGTGTGATAATATCAGAATTTATTCCTTGGCATGGAGTGTGCTTGGCTTCAGACAGGACAGTGGGCAAGAACAGCACTTTCCTTCTGGAGTGGAGGGGATGAGACTGCTCCAATACATGACTCTGTCACTGCTTGGTGGTGCAGATGGAAAAAAAGGTGAGGTCTCCAAAGCAATCATCAGCGTTCTCCACTTGACCTCTGGCCAAGGCCAGTGGCAAGATTCCCTTTAGGGGGGGCAAAATTGCAACACAACCCAAACATCTTCTCTCATCTGGTAGTAGCTAAAAACAGGAGAGCCCCAGAAATTCCATTATGTGTGAAGAATCAATGAGAAGGTGATAGTTTATGGATGAGACAAGAGGACTGAAAAAAGAAGAAAGAGCAGAATGACATGAAACCTCCTCTGCATAATGGCTTCCAAAAGATCAGAATGCTCCAAAACTTTGCTTGGCTACACCTTGGTATCCAGGACCTATGGATATCACAATGTGTGCAATAAGAACCAAACATCTGAAAAGCATGAGAGGTGAATGGCAACTCCTGCTTGTTTTCATAAATGAAACATGACTCTGTCACTGCTTGGTGGTGCAGATGGAAAAAAAGGTGAGGTCTCCAAAGCAATCATCAGCGTTCTCCACTTGACCTCTGGCCAAG